GNGGGGGGGGGGGTTGGCGACAGTCTGCGGTGTAAATGTGCTAGCAGATCGATCAATCAACAGACACGCAATCGCTGACGATGTTAGGCATCAAATGCCGCCATCCATGGAACTGGAGTAGCGTCAGCTATGATGAGTGAAGAAACAGGCCTGCAGCAGTTGACATATGATTCGCACTCATCTTGATTGTATGTCAGGCATATCCAAGAATGGTATCCAGTTACTATTGATCTATCGGACTAGTGAGCTAGCAAAAGAGTAGTTGTAATGGGAAAAAAAAGGGAAAGAAAGAAAGAAAGAAAGAAACTAAAAACCTCTCACGGGCTAAGCGTCAAGATTCAAATTCAAAAAGCAGAATGACTGCTAGGAGTCACCATTTATCAAAGATACGCATAATCCTAAATCGATTCAAACATGGCAGAGGGACTACATGTATATACATACACACATACATGTAATTATCTTTTCTGACAGAACCTCAAAATCTCCCCGGTGGGAGATGTCTAGAATTGTATACAGATAACTAGCTCAAAAAATTGCTAGCATGTTATTATCTCTGTCTAGCTAACTCAGAGAAGAGAGCTTCTCTTCCGAAATAACCACACATCTATACATCTTAAATATTAATTCAACTGCGTGCACGCAATCCCCATCTTCCCCTCCTCAATCGCCACCCGCATCTCATTCGGGTCTTCCCCGCGCTCATTCAGCACCCAGACCAGCGTATCGCCAAACGTCTCGCCATTGTTCCGGAACCACTCGCCCAGCGACTGGATGTACATCTCCACATGCTCCTTGAGCGGCGCGTTCTCGCGCAGCCACAGCACCTGCGCCGGATCCAGCTTCAGCATGTCCTGCACGACGTAGTAGTGCGGGATCTCGTCGCCCCAGCCTTCCTGGCCTGGGTCGTGGAACAAGTCGTTGCGCAACCGGTAATTGTAAGTGCTTTTCGCAGCGGGATCGCTGGGATGCGCCGTGTAGAACTCGGTGTTGTTTTCGCGGAAGTATGAGCCTCCTGCGGAGAGATTATTGTTCCGGTAGTTGTTCAAATGGACGTTGAACGTCAACGGCTGGTTGCTGTCCGGATACCGCTTGCGGAATTTGCGCTGGATGGTGCCGTTGCTCGGGCAGATGTGGTTCTGCACCACGTCTTGGATCACCAGACGCAGATCCTCGATCTCCGCCAGCTCCTCGGTCGACCAGTTGTGCAAGAGCTGGGCACGTTCCATAATGACATTGCGAATCCGACGAGAGAAACGATCGTAGAGACCATTGTGAAACGCGCGGTGATAGAGCCAGAGCCGATACACCGCGCGACGCAGACGATAGCGCTCCTCGTCGGTCAGCAATCGGCGATTCACGTAATCGACCTTCCACTTCTTCAAGGGGTATATAGCTTCCCACTTCTGAGCCACCCGGCCCACCTCGACGATTTGCTTCAGCAGAGCGTCAGACATGGACGCCTCGCGGATGAGATGCGCCGGCTGGCTAGCATTCTGGGTAACGAGCTGGATAATGTCGTCCAGGGGCCCAAACTCCACCTCCGCGGCGCGCGAGAGTATCGATAGTTTCTGCGAGGTACTGAAGACGTGACGCAGTCGGCGATTCGTGGCGGCCAGGTGCAGGACATCGGACACGGAATCGCAGGAGCGGAAAATATGGAGCAAAAGCTCCGTGGCTAGGTTGTCTAACTTCATTGTATGATCTAATATTAGTTCAGGTTAATAACAGCCCCTAGCCAGCAACTTCCTGTAACAAACAACCAACCTTGCAATGTTGTCTAGTTTCAAGAGCTTCGGAAAGAAAGATGCTTTGGTTCGAAAATTCTAAAGTCCTCGTAAAGTTCTCGCGAAATGACAGTGATGATAGCAGTACGTTCACAAACTCGACGGCCCTACGCGCTCAAACACGTCGCAAGCCGTCGCATCCACACGAAGGGTTTAACTGACGACCACCCCGTCGTTGGGGCTGACTGGAAGACAACGATATCCATCCCTGAAAGAAAGCATGACACTAGAAGAAACAAATGAATAAAGGCTCAGCAACCCCTTAGGGCCGCTGGAGATAGGGACAGCCATAGCTTGGGTAGTGGTTGCAAGGGAGGAGTTGAAGTATGTTGTTTGTCACGTCGCCATCTTTATAGTTAACGTAATCAACCACCGAGCGACGAATACCACCGAGCGACGAATTTTCCTCCACCCTACCACTTCCTTTTTTCAACGCGTCATTTTATCACCACCACTATCAAAAATGCCTTTATCTCAAGAAAACCGAATTCAAATGGCTATTGCAGCTTATAAAAATCAAAAAGTCAAATCAATACTGAAGGCTGCAGAGATTTTTGGGGTGCCTGAGGCTACCCTTCGCGCTC